ATGAGAGAGGGGTGAGAGACATTTACGGAAGAAAACAGCAAACATGCTGCAAAACCCCGTGAGAGGGCAAAGAGAGAGCAGAGGGGGCAAAACGGATTCTTGGTGTTTCCACTGTGTATCATCAATTAAAACCTCAAATGAGAACATGGGATTTACACACTCACATGGTTTCGTTCTTCTTGGAAAAAATTATCTGCCCTTCTGCCTCTGTTTGGCATCCTTTACCTCTGGCTTGCAAATTTAATTGCAAGCTCACTATTTCCAAGAGTCATGGGCAAATGAAAAAGGCTTAACATGGAGGTGGGGAATTGTGTTATTTCGGTGCTACAGTAACTATTCTACAGTTAGTTCAGCTCAAACAATGACAAAAACTACTTATTTTTTTAAATTACACATTTCTTAAATGCCCTCTATGGTGAAAATCTTTTTTTTTTCTTCTTACCTTTTTAACATGTTTGTATAATGTTTTTTTTATCTGCAAGAAAACACATTACGAGCAAAATAAGCAGTCAACGTCATGGCTGAGTATTTTTACTTTGAAACTGCAGTGTGCTGATAGCTGTATCAAAAAAGCGATTCAGGCTTCCGGGGATTCACAAGTAACAAATCTGTGTCATTGTTCTTGTTCTTGCGGGTTCCGGTTAAAACATGTTTGGCTGAATTAGTCTGATTGTACAACTTGCCATTGGGTAGCGTGAGACAGTTTTACAGTGTTTGGACTGAGCTGTAGGTGAACTGGAGTGCACAAGCTGCAGTGAGTAGGGAGGGATGGGTGGAGATAGATGCAGGGACTTTATAGATCTGCACATTTTAAAGGAAGTAATGGTGTAGAGTTACATTTTGGGGCATTTTCATAAAAAAATCTTCTAAATATATAACTTTGATATGCAGAGATGAGTTTTTAGGGGTTAAATCAATGACTGAAAAAGAACTTCCAACAATTACTAGTTTAGAATTAAGATTTTATCATTATTTTTTAAGGGCTAAAGGGTGGATCGGTGGTTAGCACCATTGCCTCGCAGCAAGAAGGTCGCTGGTTCATGTCCCGGCAAGGACACCGGGGATCTTTCTGCGTGGAGTTTGCATGTTCTTCCCGTGCAGCGTGGGTTCTCTCCGGGTTCTCCAGCTTCCTCCCACACAGTCCAAAAACATGCTGAGGTTAATTGGCGACTCTAAATTGTCTGTAAGTGTGAATGTGAGTGTGCTTGGTTGTCTGTCTCTAAGTGTCGCCCTGTGATAGATTGGTGACCTGTCCAGGGTGTCCCCTGCCTTCACCCTAAGTCAGCTGGGATAGACTCCAGCCCCCGACAACCCTAGTGAGGATTAACCGGTGTATAGATAATGAATGGATGGATGGATGGATGTTTGTTAAACATTGTATATCATATAGTAGTTACATATTTTTTAGGTCCTGACAAACAGCCTATTTCTGGCAGAATTATGAGGCCTTCCTGTTTTCTAAAGAAAGCACAAGCTTACAGCAGACAGGATCTCATCAGGCATGAGTGACTGTGGCAGGGCAAACATTTTTCTCAGACAGAAATAAGCAGCTGTAATCTCGACTTCAGTCAATAAGAAGGGGGGAAAAACTTTCCATGGAATGTCTTACTTTATTATTTCTCCTAGACTGTGACAACAGAGATCAGCAAAACCCGTGTCAGACCACATGTTGTTTCACTACATGTTTGTATACCAGATTAAACTCTCACAGAGGACTGGAGTAATGACACTAAGAAGCAATAATTATAAGTACGATTGAAGCAAATCTCCCCACAGAGTCAGTCCTGCAGCTTGGCTAGGTCTACACTAAAACCTTAAATACAAATGTTACTGCCACTATCAGTACTATGTACATTACACCACACAAGTACGCCATGTACCAACATTCACAAAAGCAGGTGACAGATGTGACCACAACTGTGTCATTCGAAATTTATTACATGCTTGTTTTTCTAGACTAACCTTTCCCCCATACAGTGAAACAACAGTCACTGAAATGGTTCAAAAAGTCATGCTTTGCCTGTGTTGTTTTACGGCTTTCATCTGCCAGCAGAGTCAACATACAACAATGAAATCATTTTTTACCAACTGTTGCAACAGTGTTGAGATTTTTTCCATTCAAGACACGCCACCAGATTTTCCAGTCACCTTGTTTGTTCAGTCACACATAAAGGTTTTACATGCAGCGTGGTATATACTGTACACACTGTGATGTTTGCTTAGTTACCACCTACTAAGATAAAAATGTACTAAGCGAAATACATTATGGTCAAAATGTTGTTTCCATGTGTTCAACTGCACCCCCACTGTTACCTATCTAGATTCAGTCTGTCATAATCCTGAACATGAGTATGGTAGGAAAGGGGGGTGAAAGACAGGGGGAAGAGGTGGAGGACAAGCAGGGAGGAATATGAATCTCTAGGCTGCCTATGTGAGGAGAAAATTAACTAGCAAGCAACCTGCTGCCTTTGACTGTTTGACCAGCTGGTCCAACTTGGTCCAGTGTGAACCCACTGTGACAACTCCTGACTTCAGATGACCCGTATTTGCAAATCAAGCCCCAACTTGATTACACTGTACTTTTTGCAGTTGTATGAAAAGAATAAGAAAAAAAGCTAATCAATTCAAAAGAGAGAGGCCAAGATAGCAGAAGAGCTGAGGGAGGACGGGCAGTGAACGTGGCAGAAAGGAATGAATGAAAGTCTTGATGATGGCACAATAGGAAACGACGGGAGCAAAGAGAAAGAGAGTTAGTTCTCTGAGAAGCACAGAGAGCCGTGTGAATGAGAAAGAAGTCTACGTCCCTCCCACACTCTAATGACAATCTGAAGCCAGCTGGCCTGGCCAAAGGGTCCATTCACTGGACTTCCAGGAAGTGAAGAAGAAAAAGACAAGACTTCTAGAAAAAAGGGGATACGTCCATCTTCTATGTTTGCTACCAACAAGCAGTGTAGCTGGAGCCGTTTCCCACAACTAATCCTGAATAAGTGGGAGTATTTTCTGCACTGAAACACTGGAGCTCAAAAAATGACTCAGGTTTATCTTTAACCTCGTTAACAAAAGGTCCTTCACGTCAACATCAACTCACAACCCTCCTACACAGCAAAGTATCATGACTGACGAGGACTAGAGTTGTAGTCAATCAAAGATAATTATAGCCAACTGACATCATACATACTCCTCCTCCAACCAATTGAGGAAAACTGAGTGTACGTTACCTGCTAACCTCATTAGCCTAAATGAATTATACACAAACATAAAAGCCTGTGTTTACAGCATATTTGACCATTTAAACCCATTTATTTTATACTGAAATGATGACAGCAGACTGACCAATGTGCACCTTCCCATAGTCACATGATTTTCATATATAGCACTTCATCAACTTATAATCCTATGATATGCATGAGAGGATATTTAGAGGATCTGTCATGTTGGCTGCTGAGCTGTGACATGCAAACTGCTGGTTGCAAAGTTTGCACTGGACCTTTTGGCAATCTGTGTTAACTAAACAGATGGCCATGACTTATTTGACCTGGTGGCAATCAGTTCAGAACAGACTCTTAATAATTATTCACTAAACATAAATGTAAAATGAGCCAGACCTAACAGTCTCCTTTAGGTTAGGTGAGTTTAAAGTTGTGAAAACACATGATAAACACTGTCTTTCATAGACAGTATGTTCCTCTAGTTGTGAAAAGTAATGTATTTATCCTGGAACGATGTAGTGCACTTCTCCTTATAAAACTAACACAGGTGGTTCTACAACTAATGAGAATTTGGTCAGATGGTAGCATATCTACCAACCAATCAACCAGTCGACCTGGAAACTACTTCCCTTGCAAGGGCACCAATGTTTGACTTGAGTAAAAATGTCCAAAATTAACAGCAAAATTCTAATTTGGTCAATGTTTTCTCTGCAAAATTGTACACAGAGGTAATGAACAATCAATTAAAAGGTTTGCCAAGAAAGGCTACAACATACTATACATGGAACAATTTAAGAGAGACGACAAAGTCAGGCACTTTTCGAACAGAGGTAGTAACAACTTGCTAAAAACAGTAAGCACAAAAAACCAACGTGTAACTGGAACATCAGTGTAAAATATTTTTTATGTAACACAAACCATATCCTCAGTGACCTGATTTACGATTCTGCACACAAATATTTCCACATGCTTTTGGCTAAACATGCATTAACACCTGAACACAGACAAATTTATGGCTACCGTACAGTACGAATCTCTTCCAATCCTGGCTGAGATAATTCCAATAAAAATTTAAACAAACAGCTCTTGTGAAGTAACACACCACAATAACAAGAGCAAGAGCTTGGCAGCAGAAAGCAATACACAACATCACCACAGTCTTGGATGTAGGTCAGGCAGCTAGAAGTGTGAGAGAGAAAAATTTTAACTCAGGATGGAGTTCTGTGCTGCCACTTCAGGCCGTTTCTCTGTTTATTTTTTGACAGTGTTTAAATGCAGGAATGAGGAAAGGCTTCTCTCTGACCGGCTCTTCCCTCAGTAAAATATCTCCCCACATGCCAGCCTGCCGAGGGTCACCGTGTCACAAAGATGAATGTCTTTCATGGAAATCGGATAGAGATTGTGTTGTGTGTAAGTGGATGGCGAGACACTGAGGGAGTCGGGTGGAGTTCAGTGTTCTCAAGGAGGGAAAAAAGGTTGAATGCTTGGTTCGAGGGGGGGGGCTGTCACACTGGAATGATTGTCTCTTTGTTCCTCCCTCACTTGTTCTTTGTAACTAGACAAGAAAGACGGGTATTTTGTCTTTCGTGTGTCTGTGCTTTTGACAGGTGTGTCAGGGTTTTGGTGCATAATTTGTCCATCAAGTAGCTGTATATTAAAATCATGTGGGTGGCTGGTTCTCACACAAATTAAAAGAACAGACAAACTCTTGCCCCTAACGGTAAAAGTAGACCATCTTTGGCCAAAGTGTTACATGAAAGATCAGGGCTTATTTCTGCCTTAAAGACCTACCACGATGTGATGAAAGAGCAGCTCCCAGGACTGACTCAGCTTTTGGTTCCGCACCATGTCGAAGAAGTCATAGATGAAGTAACCTGTGGGCACAGAGAGAGCGTTTGGCCAAGGTTAATGTCATCATTTGGTTCAACAATTCAGTAAATCAACCAAAACACAACAGATTCTTTTGACAACAGTCGCCTTGAGCTTATCAAGTGTGTCAGGGGGGCCCTGCTTCCATGACGACAGCGATGGCAACCAAGATGTGTCTTGGAGAGGGGCTATTCATATCCACCACCCCCCACCCCTTCCCGCCACCAGCCGTATCCATGGCGACAGCTTTTCAGAACGCTGGAAAAAATAATGAAGGGGTTGAGGTTGGGGACGGAGGGGTACGAGGGAGCTTGGCGCTTTGGTGCGGCTGGAATTAACCCTATTATGTTGGCAATTTGACACCAGAAACATTCTGTTGATGTGACGACATGTTTGGGTTCCTACCAAATTGTCATTAAAACGCTGCCATCACTCTTTTGATTGTGTATTTGCATCATATGATTCCCTTGACAATCATTGCCAATGGACAGGAAAAACTCCTAGCTGATGTAACCTTGTAAACAGTAACTTGTATTTAACGAAAGGTTGCATTTGAGTCAAGTGTTGCTAAAAAACAACCAACTGAAGCGTGTGACTTATTCAGTGAGAGTGCCAACTATTCAACACCTCTTATCTTGACTTTGTGGTTTCACAATCAGTCATTGTCTGACATATCTGTATTTAGAACATACAGGTGTAACAATGAATGAGTGAGAAAAGTAAACAACAAATGGATTCAGTTTTTTTTTCCCCCTCTTTCTGCAACATGGGCATGATGCCAACGTAAAGCCCAGCTCGGCGCGGCTAATGTCTACAGTGAGAACAAAGCAATCAGACATGGCTTGACTTTCAATGAATACCAACCACAGCCTGAACAAGAGGAAGAAAATAAGTTTCCAGTGAAGGAACACAATTGCTTTTTTTCCCACTTTGAGATCAAGGGAGATTCCATGGCATGTTTACATGAGTGGGGCAGTCCTTTCTTAAACCAGTTCGTCAAACAGCATTTCAGGCTGATATATGACTCAGTGACTCGGATGGAGTGACTCAGTTAAGTGAGTAAAACCTGATTAGGACACATGGCTCAGTCTGATATCGAGCGCATTGCAACAGTGTGTAAACATCGTGCTACTGTGGCTTTTTCAGGCCTGTAAACTTGCACTGCATTATAGGTAGCCTTTATACTGAATTACCAAATTTTCCCATTGAGCAATAATTACTATTAACATGTCTTTTCTTGTCTGAGCAGTAACTCACCACTCTAATCTGGGTGAAACCTGATATTCACAGCAACACAGAAATGTGAGCATTAAAAACAGATGAAAACAGCTTTACAAGCATGAAATAACAACAGTTGATCTTCATTCAATAAGCAGAAAATCATTTATGCCATGTCACTACAAGGTCTACAGTGCGGTAACACAGTACGGAGGAATGCACAAATCTGGTGCACAAAACTCTTCTCTAAAACTTGCTGAGGTTTTACAATCAAACCGCAAAATCAACTGGAAGAGTTCGAGAGAAGCACGGCGTCTTGTGTTTCTGTTACCACTGGTATCTGCGGTGGACAGCTTGCGTAAATCAACTGACATTTTTTTTTTGCGCCTTCGCTCTCTCGGTGATGTCACATGACTGTACGGGGTTACGCCCGGTGCCTGGGACCGATCATAATGCCCCTCATTGATCTTCACATACCAACCACTTGCTCCTCGCTTTGCCAGCTTCCAGGGCCGGGCTTCCTGAAGGAATGTCAAACATCCCGGGAATCCTCCGGGAGCCCTTGCTGCCTGGCACACATCCAATAAATTTGTGGATTTTAGAGCGCTCACGTGCCACTAGTTGCTCCAGAAGACTTTAAGCATTAATGAGGAAAAAGTAAAACGAGGGCGAGCTGCTATTTTAGGAAAGAGGGGTTGGATGCGCACCTAGGCTTGAGAAATCAAGTTGAAATAAGGCAAAATCTAATTTATGCCAGTTTTGATTTGCAGAGAGTAGATGGCAAAATGTACTGAGGATTCCAGGTAGCAAATCAACGTCAAAAACATAATCTGCAGGGTGTGAGCAAGCTTAACTGGACAGAGTCTAATTTAAAACACATCCCAGCAGCTGCTGTATCTTCATCCAATTCATTCACAGATAAAGCAGTGTTGATAATTTAAAACATTTCAACCCTGATAAACCCTTTTATTTACTCTTACAGCAACAATACAGCAAATACTGCAGCATTGTAGAGATATCATCAGTTACTTAATAGAGCATTCAGGGTGATGCTGGTTCATAAAATTCTCTGCATAATGTCTGCCCCCTACTTACAAACAATAAGCCACACAAGCTTTAGTGAATGCAAACTCTGTAAAGGCACTCTGTGCAATTTGCTGACATTAAATTAATTCCAAAAGGGCTTTCATTAGCTTTTGAAAACAAAACTCTTGCATGAACTACATGAGTCTGTTGACCTTAAGCTGCCCATGCATCGTTTAGGAAAATGAAACTAGCAGGGATGGATTATGTCACTTGCTCACTTTCCCTCAGGATGGCAGCACCTCTGAGTTCACCCTCCCCTCCATCTCCAGCAGCAGCAGCTCATTCAATCTGAAACTGCGCACTGAACCCTGCTGAAGTGCAACTCACCGATTGAAAACGACACCAATGCATGAGAAAACACGGAGTGAGTTTCTATCAGATCTTCAGCCATCTGTGGATGAAGGAAAAAGCTGAAAAAGGGAAACAGGGAAAAAGTTCAGATTAAGAATTTCAAATGAAAAACAAAAATTAAACTTAATTGACTCTAAATTCAATCAACTTTAATACAGTTTGTTAATTCCATTTATGCTAAAAGTTTATCCTGATCTCAGTGAGATTATGGGGATCCGCAGCAACAAATTTGGTCGCCATAAATAGCATTAAATGGAAAAAAAAAAAAAAAAGACGGGGAAACATACTATTTTAAGTAATTTATTTAAAACGATATAAAACTGTTTTAACTTACCAAGACACTGCCCATATCGCTGTGATGAAACTGTGCACGAACGATGTGGCGATGTTTTTCCATTTCCATACATTCCTGCAGGCAGACTCAGGTATGGGGAGTTTACACACTCCGGCGTTGACTAGTCTGAAGAATCCGACGGCGCTGCCTGTGGTTAGGATCACTGAACTCAGCTCCATGGCACAAATGTTTGTCGGTGAAACTTGAAGATTTTAAAAGTCCACCAGTTGACACCGATGTGAGCGATTTGAACGCGGCGGAGCACCCCGACCGTGGTCCAGAATAAACAAGAGGACAGCGGGCTACTTGTGTGCGACGACCAGAGACAAACACGTTAACATGCCGGTGCGTTCAATTACTTATGCTCAGCTCACTCAATGAGGATTTTTGAAACGGAGTAGGGGGAAAAAAGCGCTTTTTCTCTCGATCCACAGTGGAGAAGGCGTGTTCGAGTCTGTCAAATGATTCCTCACTGAAACCGATTGAATGTTGCCTGATGTTTTTTCCTCAAATAGTCCCCTGGAGAAAGGCTCTGTGGTTGCAGGTAGAACCGGTAGATGTGGATGTTGGATGTATGCGTGAAGCCGTGTTTACAGACGTGAAGGCGACCTATTGTAAAACCTCACCCCGCCGCTTGTGTAACTTTTTGACATCAACAGAAACCAAATAACGGCTTCTCCCCGCCCTACTATAAAGAGGCGCGGCTAAGAGCACGCTTTATGTATAGTGATACGTTCAGGTGCTGTCGGAAGAGTCGCTCTGACTGATAAGAGACATGATTTATGAACAGCAAACAGTATTCTATAACATATATCGATGGATGACTAATTAAAGGCAGGAAACTGAACCCTTGACCCCTACAGACATTAAATCCTTTACAGGATTCACTTGTCTCCTACAGAAGGAAGGGTCACAATCAATACAAAATTCTTCACTTTTAGGCTATTATGAAACACATTATTTGATAACTTCAGTGCCCTTTTCCAAGATAACAACATCCATAGGGCACGAGGGGTCACTGAATGGTTTGATGAGTATGATGTGAATCACAGATGTCAACCCAATCAAACACCTACAGGAGATGTTGAACTGTCATGGAGCAACAACACTCTCCACCACCACCACAATCAAAACAGCAAATTAAAGGAATATCTTTTAGAAATAGTGTGCTCCATCCCTCCAGTAAAGTTCCAAAGACTTGGAGAATCAATGCCAAGGAGCTCTGAAGCTGAACTGGCAGCACATGGTGGGTCAACGCCTTACAAGGATAAATAATGTTAGTGCTTCCTTAAATAAGTCACCCATCGGTACATGCATTGATACTACAAAAGACATTTGCTTTAGAGTTTACAAGACATGTGCTGATAAGGAAAAAAGTATTGTTTAAGTATTTGTACAGAAAATTGGGTACCGTTTGGGAAACAGTATCACATGATTCTATTAATTTGCAGTATTATAGAATACGTACAGTTTATGGTCACTATCAAGAGTCACGTGAGAGAAATCATATCTGCTGATTTGATGGGGCTGATAAAACGTGGATTTCCTATATTGTTTGCGGAGCCAGCAGCAAATATCCAAAGACATAAATGCATTAAATTGAGTTTTAGTTTAATTTTCAGTACTCGACAGAGCTCTTGAAAGCAACACTGCTTTTGAGCAACCTCATTGGCTGACAGACCAACGTGGATTTATGGGAATAGTAGTTCGTTTCCAAACATAACAAGAGACCGTGTATGGAAAGCATGGTTCTTGATTTTGGCACAGTGTTTATTAGGCATTAGTGCTGATTGGTATTCTCACTGGACATCGAAGTTTAATCAGTAGTTTCCTTTTCACTGTTGTTTCATTCAGTGGCAGGGATGAAAACACCGCTGCTCTCATTCAAGCCCCAAAACGTTTATGTGAATGACAGCGACACCATCTGGTGACACACAAATAGGATTTTACACATCACTGCCTCTGTAGCCCCTCAGCTCACATAATATCCTGCCATTGATGCTGTCGGCGGTAGGAAGTGACTTCATGTTTGATGCTTTCTTGAAGTGCTAAGTAACTAAGCAAGTAGGTATTTTCCTTTCCTGCACCTTTGTTTAAAAAACAAAATAACAACAACAACAAAAAAAACAGGTTCTAAGCAGCACCGGAGACCCCAGGTCACTGTTCCTTAAACCTTCCTCTAAAATTCTCTAGTACACAGATTTTCAACAAAACGTGAAAATGACACTCATTCAGCCAAACACTTCATTTGAAGTGGGCATACACGCTACAGGAGTCCCGACATAAACATACATAACCAGTCATAAATGCTTGCTCCACCCCCCTGATAAAGGCTTATATGTAACTTTCAATGTGTTATATCATTTTGAACATTATATTACATATTGGTGAACTTTCATAACATATTTAGTAAATTATTACATTATTGGGTAAGTGAAATGAGGTCAACCTCCGCCTACAACAATAAAGTGGTCTACACATTCTCAGGACAGTGTTAATGTTCTTTTGTGTGCTGTCTGTCTGTCTGTCTCTCCCTCTTATCCCTTTCTCGATCACCTTTGCAGTTACCCATCTGGTTAAGGTGGACAGTTGCCCTGTCTGATCTTGGTTCTGACGGTGGTCACTGACTATTAAACGGAAGATGTTCTGCTCCACTGTCATTGCAAATATCAACTGGAAAAAGAACAGAATACACTACAAAATTAAAATACAAACATCATGATATATATATATATTATAGTGTATATACACATATAGATGTTATAGGGAGTTCAGGCAGTCCTTGGATTTGTTGGGTGGATTTTGATGTGTATTTTTTAGTTTCTTATTTCTTTCTAAATTAATCAGTGAAATAGTTGAATCTCTATATAATAGTACTGCTAAGTCTGGGCCAGTATATTTATACTGGCACATAAAGTTGCATTTTATATATTTGTGTATTATTTTAGAGTGCATCCACGATAGGACCAGGCGGGGGTGGCACAAGCCATCTCACCGATTTCAATAAAACTTTGCCAGTTTAAAGGGGTCCACCCAAAACTACTTCAGTCTAAGTTTAAGGAAATTTGGTCAAACTGGGGGGATTTCACCACCCTTCCTTGTTTTGTTTTGCAAAAATGACCAAAAATCCCCTAAAAATGGTCAGAAGTATAAAGCTCCAACCAAATCTTTTCATATTTTCAGTGAATGTTATCCTACCCAAGGACAATCTATTGTCAACATTTCCTTCTCCTACAACGAGTTCCATCACACAAATCATGTCAGCCAAGACCGCCTCTCTCACCCAACAGTGAAAACTGTTAAAATACCCAAAGTTTAGGCCAAAATATCTCTTTTAATTGAACTGTAATTCTTTTATATTCTTATCATTTATTTATATTTGCATTTTATCTTTTTATTTTATCTTTATGTATTTACTCTTTTAACTTTTATTTTATCTTACATAAGGCATTTTATTCTTAAAGTTTTAAGTTTCAATTCCAGTGTTTCCTTAGGGGGGTCCTCCACACTGGGGATTGTGTGCGGTCTGCTGCTGGGGGTTCTGTCTGTGGGTCCCTTCGGCCCGGCTGGTTGGGGGGGCTCCTCACCTCGTTGTGGGGATCCCCCTGTCTGCCGGGTAGGGGGTCCGGGCGCTGGCGCCCCCAGTAGTCATGGTCTGCAACTCCTCCTGGTGTGGACGGCCCCAATGGTAGCGTTTCCCACAATCCCTCAGTGCCATGCCATGCCTCTTTTAGTCTCGTGGTGAGTGTGTTTGTGTGTGCGTCTGTGTGTGCGCAAATGCATTTGTTGTATGTCTATGTGTATGCATGGAGGGTGGGAGGGACAGGTTTACTTTATTTTTTAAATGTTGTAATGTTTCTAAATGTTGTAATGTTTTTAAATGCTTTGTTGTTTTTAACTGCTTTGTTGTTTTTAAATGTTGTAAAGCACTTTGCGATTGTTGTTGTTGCACATGAAAAGTGCTATATAAATAAAATTTGATTGATTGATT